CAAAACGAAATTCGTTAACAAAATATAGAACTATCGCTGAAATAAATATTTCAATATAAAAAATTTTCGTTTAATTATTGTAAAGACGAAAAGATTTGCTGTTTATCATGGCTTGTTCTGATCGATGTCGATCAAAAGTGGAAACATCGATTTGAAAAAAAAAGAAACATGAATATACTCTATATATAAATAGAAATTATTGAAAACCTTTATGATACTATTGATTTAACCTCAAAACTACTTCGATGGATTGACAACATTGATTCATAAAGAAGAAATAACTAAAGTTTATCGAAATCAAAATATGGATAAATCTTGTCTATCCATTAATTGAGAAATAATAAAGAAAAATATAATCAGTAGCATTGTATTTTTACTAGCGAGTGTACTGCCCGAACTGATACTTGTGGTTTGAGCTTATATTGAGCGTACAAGGACGTCTTTGTGAGACTTACAAAAGTTTAAAAGAGTTCGTCCTCATGAGTCTTTGAAGCCTAGTTTATAGGTTGTTTTACTGAATTTTCAACTCAATTATAGGTTTATTCCGAAAAATCAAAGAAGAGAATTTCGATCTGAAATTTTCCATATAGATACATCAAATGATCTGTAAAATATACTGGAAGTTTCAGCCAAAAAAGATGCTCTTTTATCGAGATATAGAATTTTACAATAAATTCGGTTTTTGTATTAGTCCGTGACAAGCAATTCTTTTTTTGGAAATTCGACATCTTGACGAAAGAGCATTGTTTTCGGTTGAAACTTTCACAATACTCTACGGATCATTCGACCTTATATTATATGGGCGAAATTTCAGGTCGAAACTCCGGTTTTTTATTTTTCGGTATATACACCTAAAGCTAGGTTGAAAACTTAGCAAAAATGATTGTAACTCAGCTTTAAAAGTCCATGAGAATGAATGCTTTTAAAATTTTTTTAGTCTTATTCAGACACCTCCTTATGTGTCAATATGAGTTCAAACGGTGGGTCTTACTTGGAATGATTCCTCTCATTAACATTTTTTCTGAGAAGATGACACATATCGAACGTTCTTACCGTACGTTGATTATAACTTAACTGGTGTTCACTAGTTAAAAAGAAATTCTATTTGACTACAGGTAAAAATAAAAATAATAGGAATATCTAGATTGTCAATTTACAAATGATGTTGGTGCATTTTTAAAAAACAAATGGAATCAAAAGGTTCAACAGGAATAAACACTAACAACTAAATAAATTTCATTCAATAGAAAATCTATTGGAGATATTTGCTTATTATTCTAAATAAATTTTTCCCGAAAAAAAAAAGTTCAATTATTAATATTTAGAAAAGTATGAATGAGTACACAATTTTGAGAAAATACCTCGTAAAATCTCTCTAACATAGATACAAATTGCATTAACACGATTATCCTACAACAAATATTAAATTAGACGATATGATCAATCGTTCAATGAAAACTTTTCATTGATATTATAATCTTCTGTTGAATATCTGTTAAACTCTTATTATACAGTTCTTTAAACTACCAACTTCTTTTTTTGTTTATCATCAAACACGAAATAGAAAATGATTTACCATTGAAATCCTCGAAATAATTCATGAGTGTTATGAATCAAATGGAGAAGCTTAAATTTATGAATGCATTTTCTTTTGTTAATTGAGTTCATCGATCAAATAACAATGAAGTTTTTTAATTGAGTATATATTTTCGAAGATGCATACATTATTATAAAGAAAGTGTAGTCTATTAGCAGAAATTTAACTATAATTCTTTTTATTATTAAAATCAATAATTTATTAATAAATACATTTCTCATTTTCAGTTCAAATAGTTGAATCGATATTACAACTTGCTATTACATTTTGTTTTCTATGAATTCATTTATCGTATGATATATGTTCTTATTCTCCATGATGTCATGATTGGTACAACATCGGTCATTTATCTTCTAAACTAAGTTTAGCCGATGGATTGCGCAATTTGCTCATCTCGGCAAGGATGTATTTTTTATTAAATGTGTACTTTGACTTAAGCGGACATTTCGCTTGTTACTATCACTGATCATTATCGACGATGATCGTTTATTTTTTCTTACTAATATAATTTCCGCCGATTATGCGAAAATATTCTATTCATAAGACACGTTATTTTTCTTTTCTACTATTTAACAAGGTTCACTATCATATGACATATATCTTCGACAAATGACGCCATTTTTCATCCCATCCAGGTTCTATCCCATGTTGTCTTTCCCTCTCTCTCTCTCTCGACTTTTCTATTTATTTTCTGTACCATTCTCTCGATCTTTTTCCTAATGGAATTTCATACAACTAGAAAAGAATTTGAGAGACGAAGAGAGAGAGAGAGAGAGAGAAATAGAGATTCATAGCGTCTTTTTATTTTCATCGATTTTCATTCATTTTATCATTCATTTATAGTTTTTAACGTTTTTACGCGACAGATAAATTTCTATCCATTCATTCTTTCTCTTTCTGTTATTTTACTCTTAAACTTATTCATACATATAATGTATCGTTATTCACCTACTAATAGTAAAAATCTTATAAAGGCAGCTTCATCTTTTCTTATGGAAAATTCTAATATTCATTCACGTGAAACAGCATTTGATCCACTTAATTATGAATTTGATGCTGAAACAATGGTTGAACCATTTACTTATTTTCAGTAAGTAAATTAGTTTAAAAAAAAATCAAGACAATAAATAAATTTAGTTCTTTTTTTTCCTTAAAGTAATGGTCCTACTGAATCTCGTCGAAAAGTAAATGAATTTTCATCATCATCATCATTAACACATTTTTCATGGTTACCAACTCATAATAGTAGTGTTGTATCATCACCAGGTGAAAGTCCACAAAGTTATTTTTCACCTGTTCTCAATGAGCAATTCAATGGTATAATTCAATTAAAAACTCACCAAAATATTCCTCAACAATGTCAACAACAACAACAACAACAATCTGTTTATCCAAAAACAATATGTAGACATTGTAAGAGTCATAATATGCCTGAATGTCTTTATACATGTAAGAGATTTTTTTTTTTAATTTAAAATAATTTGTACTATTTATCTATTTTTTATTTTGACAATAGCTCATACAATGTATGATGAAACTGGTGCTATATTTTGTCCTGTATTAAAAAAATGTCATTGTGCTACGTGTATTCGTGTTACAAATCCAAACATAATACGTGATGATGATTCTGATGATGATAATAATATACGTTTACCAATGATTTCTAATGAATATAGTCATTTACACGGTACATTTCCAAGACAAAATTCTTATCGTATGATTAACAACAACAGTTTTTGATGAATATGTATATGTATATATCTCTAAAACACAAAAAAACAATCTCTCTGTTCGTTGCTTGCTTGCTTTCTTTTTTTTTTGCGTTTGAATATGTGCGTGTGTTTTTTTAAACTCACATTGCGCATTCGTTTGTATAACTAATGTACAGGCAGTATGGTGCATGTGAGTTTTTTGTTTTGTTTGTTTTTTCTTTCGTGAAAAATACTATATAGAAATAGAAAATGTTCGGTTTTCTAATTCGTATGGTATTGTTATGTGTGTGATCTTTCTGTTTTTTTTTGCTTCTTAACATTTAGGATTTCATTTTCTAACTTCCATTTTCAAAACATTGCTTTTTTTTATGTCGTTTATTTTTTGGTGAGTGTCTGTGTTTGTTGCTCTAGTGCTTGATGTTCTTAAACATTTTCTGCAGATTTTAAGGTCTTTTATAGATTTTATCCACGCTACAGACACTATCTATATGAAATAAATAAAAACAAAGAAGTTTCACTAAAAAAAAAAAAAAATTTGAATTTATTCAATCAAAACAAAAGCAGAGGAAGTTTGGAATAAAGGCCATCGGGTTATTTCCGGAGCATACTCTAAAAGTAATAGCCAATTATGATTTGATTATTATGAGATGGTTTGAGAAACTTGTGGAATGTATTGGTAGTAGAACACAAACAATCGATAAAAAGAGCGACTTGAAGACTCAAACTTGAAAATTCCATTGAAATTATGAACATAGTTTCAGTCCTGATTCGAAAAGTTTGATCTACCAATGTACATACACATGATAGTATTTTGAAAAAAAAAGATAGAACAGAGAGAAATAGAAGTATTTTAATTTTCTCTGTGATATGCATGAAAACAATTGATTCAAAGACAAATCAAGGAATATAGCCAGAATGATTCATATTTTTAGGTAAAGAACGAATATCTCTGAAAAAGAATGACAAGTGCTGTCATAGTATTACTGAATAAGAGACATAGTATGTGTAATACAATATAGAATAAAACAAACTATACATTGTTTGTCCATCAAAAGTGCATGACTTTTAACCTATATGTATATATATATGCGTACATACATATACAAAACAAAAAAGAAAACGAATTCATTTGATTCCAAAGTTACATATATGAACAGACGATAGAGATTGTATTCACAGTTTCTTGAGGAAAACAACTGTTAATCAAATATGTGTATGATTACGAAAAAGTTTTAGCACAGTAACGGAAAGAAGATGGTACATCAGAAATAAGACCAAGTACAGTGCTTTATCTAGCACGAGAGCGGTGTGCCTCCGAAGATTGGGTTTACCCTCCTGGAGTTTCTAGTCCTTATACTATGTGTCTGTGCTTCCAGAAACAGATGTTCGACCTTTTGGAACAGAAAATCTAGATAAAATACTAAGCAAATATAGATTTCTTCACTTGGTCCCATTATAGAAACATGTAGTATGATCTATGACTGAATAGATTCATCATCTTCAACGTACACTATACCATCTATCAGTACTTGTATTTTACAGAAGTACAATATTTTTTTATATAAATTTAAAAAACATATTAAAAATGATTATATTTTGAAACTAATAAAGAATACGCATGATGTATTTATTTTGTTAAATCAAATAAAAAAATACAAGTATAATTCAATAAAATGACTACAAAAAGAAAATTAAACATAACTTTTATATAAACGATGAACTGAAAGAAATTGTGGTGTAGCTGGAGGGATAAAAGGTGGTGGTGGAGATGGTGAAGATAATACTAATGAAGGTAAACTATATGATGATGATGAATAAATAGGATATGGAGTTGAACGTATAGATAATTCAGATTTAATAGGAAAAAGATTTAATGAATTCTTTTTTTCAACAAATAATTTTTTATTATTTGTTTTATATAAAATATCATCTGTATATGTATTTGAATCAGTTCGAGGAATAATTGATGATAAATATTTTGTTTTAGGATGATGTTTATAATGAATTTGTTTTTGTTTATGATTTGTTTTTGTTAATAAAATAATAATTGATACTGAGAGAATAAAAACAACTAATGACATTGGTGTAATAATATAAAATAATAAAAGTTTATTATTGAACTGTTCATCTAGATAAAAAAAAATACAAACGTTTGCAAAAATGAAAAAGAAAACGAATTTGTTTTTTGAATATTCTCCATTTTGAATACATAAAGATAAAATAAATCTTTACATATTTAACTCAAAATTAATATAAATTTTTTACCTGAAACTGGACTTGACAATGACCAATCATTCGGTAAAGAATAATTATTAATATCTATTTCTGTATCATTAATTGATATTGAACGAATACTATCAGCTGATGAGCAATGATGTCGAACCATTGTACTAAATATACAAAATAACAAAACAAAATAAATGTTTTCATATATATAATAAAGACTTACTCCATGGGTAATTTTTTTCGTATTAAACAATCTTTTGTCCAACATACAAAACAAAGTTTTTCATTACATTGAATTAATTTAATAACCAAATATCCTAAATGATTTGTTATAATAATCACATAAGAATTATCATCACTAAAAAAAAAATGAAAATAAATAAATTAACATTTAAAATCAATAATTTCACAGACGTTTTTTGATAAGCAATTGATTTAATTGAATAACGCATATTTATTGGTAATGTTAATTCTTCAAATACATTTGTTTTAAATGTTCTATCAGTAAATGCTGTTAATAAACGACCATTACCTAAATACACAAGTTGTTATCACAATTCCTGCAAGCTTAAAATATGAAACACAATGTAGCTGCTCTTGTTAATCTCAGAGATATTGGTTTTATTGCGGGGCACATTCCATTACCATTCTTTCACTGAATCCTACAGAAATACTATAAGGATGCAATAACTAGATGTTATCGATCTACAGTCTGTGATGTGAAGGAGAGAGTGTTGCTAAGGTATCTGTCAGCCTATGGTGATCTTCGATTAGTGTCCATGACGGTCTCTGAATTTCATGGTCAGTAGGAGGTTCAAATTTTTACTTCTATACTTCAACACTCTTTATAGATTGTGTTTCACAAAAAAACTATGCATCAAAGAAAATTTTTTGTTTACTTGTGCCAATAATCAAACAATAATGATCAATATCATATTGTATAACATTAATCGCTGTAAATATATGTGGTGACATTGTCTCCATTAATAATGGATTAGATAAATAAGATTGAAATTGCCGTTCTGATTCTACCATATCACGATGAATTGTTGATGAAATTGTTTGACTACAATTTTTAATTAAATCATTTAATTCATTATTAATTATTAATGTTCTTCTATTAGTTTGTTTTGATGGAGCAGTAAATACATGATAAAATTGTTTATCAAGCATAAATAAACATACAGCTGAAGCTGTAATAGATGAACTAGAATTGGAAAAAACAAAGTTAATCAAAGAATTTTAAAATATAAATTCTTTACTTATTCGTAGTAAATGTTGCAAAAAGTAATGTTGAACCATTCGACATATGAATTGGATCGACTAGAGCAGCTAGAAAACCAAAAAAAAATTTAACTAATTGAAATTAGTTTTTTTGTTAATCTATTACTTAAAATATGAAAGACAAATGAACGTGATTGATCAAACATATCAGTTGAACAATTGAGAATTGCTTTACGTACAATTTCAGTTCGATTAGCACAAGCCATTACTAATCGAGATACACGATTCTTAAAAAAGAAAAAACATAAAGTTTATTTATTCAATGGAAGATTCTGAAAAGAATTATATTTTATCTATATTTGTTGAAGTCTACGAAAAAAGCAAATCTTAGAAAAATATCTCAATCAATTTTATTCTGTTTTAAAAACTAATTTCTCCATAGATTGATATCAATATTTATTCAATAATATCATAATCTTACAGGAAATTCATTACATACGATTGACTTTTTTTTAAATTTCGACAAATCTTACTGTTTCAATTCGTTCAGAAGTTTCAATAACTCCAAAAACTGCTTTTCCATCATATTTAAATCCACCAATAAAATAAGAATCTATACAAATAATTACTTATATAAATAAACATAATCATTATTTATTTTACTTTGTCTTAAAGCGTAAAGTAATGTTTTTCCTTGAGTAGCACGTATTGTTGGTATATAATCACCTTGATAACCAGCTGTTATTATATTTGTATTAAAATTTAACATAACATAAGAACTTTCAGAATCCATTGGAGGATGTGGATCACGTATAAGAATATGTTCATTAATAAATGACATTGACTGTAAATCAAATGTTCGTACCATTGGTCGATGTGCATATGTACAATAAACATTCATCTTAGTATTATCAGATAAAATTCGAACATGTACAACATCATTGTAACATTTATCCTTGAAAACAAAAAAAAATTTTCTTATTGATAATTAGAAATTAAATTTATACTTTTGTATTCCATTCTTGAAGACATTCATCCATTGTTATTTGATCAATAGGCCAATTGTAAGAAAATATTTCAATCTAATTAATTATTTAAACAAAAAAAAGAGTTTTCTTTTTTTGAAATTCACTTACAATTGAATTATTTGAATCAGGCTTTAATAAAATAAGCATTTCACGTGTACCATAAATAGCATAAGTATTATACCACATAAAAAATTTCATATTAGATATAATCTTATGATTTTGATTATAAGAATCTAGAGAATTGATAATTAAGAAAAAATTAATGATTAAAAATTTATTTCATCTTACTTGATTCATAGGATGATTGTTGAATAAATGTTAATGTTTTATGCCAACCATGACAGGGAACAATAAATGTAATTATTAAAAAAAATATCAATAACGAAATCACAAGGATTCGAACTGTTCGTTGATCATCAAAGTTCATACTTCATTTGGATGATATAAAACAATCTTTATTAACATTTTCCATTAACTATGAATCAAGATACAAAAAAATAAAAAAACAATAAGTGCTATATTTGTTGAATCGAAGGATATATATTAACAAAACGAGTGTGCTTATATTGAATAGAACAAGTATTTTGCTTGTCTAAACTCATCATAATACAAACAGCATGCCGCCGTTCATCATCTTTTATTCAAGTGCTAGTTGTGTGTGCCTCTCTCTCTCTCTTCTATTCTGATATACATTTATATGTTCAATAATATCGATGAGATCACAGAGTGAATATCTTACCAATAGGCACGTAGTTCCAAATAAGAGAAAAAAAACGCCAATTATTACTTAAAAGTACACTGATCAATAATCATGCTCAATTGACCCACCCTGATGTCTGATGATCTCGCATCATTTTGTAAACGAAGAATATATGGCTTCCTATGTTCATCGATCAATCTTAGACGTGACTTATTACTTTTCTTTTTTTTTTCTCTTATTTAGTAAATCAACAAGGTAATATAAAGAGACCAGATGAAGACGAATGAATTGTCTGCAGATTTATGGATGCTATTGCCTAGCAGCGACCAGTTTTCCTCTATAATTATCTTTCTTTTTTTTTGCCCTCTCTCTCTCTCTCTCTCTCTCTTTCTATGTCCGTTTTTTCTGTCATTGTGAAGTACTAGATAATTTGCATCATCTCATCTAGTACTAACTAATAATTTGTTCAATACTAGTTTTTAATCGACGCTCAAGTGGAAGTCTAACATCATATCGAACTCTACTCTCATTTTATGTATATGTATGATTTCGGAGACGCATGTTCAAGTATACACTTGTGCATATAAAATCGATGAGAACATGCATAGAAAAAAAA